AAGTAAAAGACCTGCTCCAGTAGAAGGACTCGGAGGATTCTGAAAGCCTTAGACTGGCTTCCTCAGCTCTTCAACAAGCTTCATTAAAGAGTTTAAAATGGCCTACAAGAGGATGGCTTCAGAATAGGACCAATCAGAAGGCAGCAGTGATGCAAGTAGCGAAGGAAGATAGTAGCCAACAAGAAGAAAAGAAGAGAACTAAATTTGAAAAAAATATGTTGATCATGTTCTCTGGGGTGTTGAATATCCTCATGAACTGACCATATACAGTGCTTGTTGAGGAATCCCAAGAATATGTTTTCTTGTAGAAATTTGGTGTGAAGATGCATGTGGGCAAAAGAAACATACCCTTGAGCACAGTTTAATTCTATTCTGTATTGTAAAATGGTTTGTAGTCGTTGTATTCAATAAGATGATTTTTGTTAAATTGTATATTGAATTCCAAGACAAAGGTTTCATCAGAAAAATAAAATGTCAAGATAATTTATCTCACGGAGACGAAGTTCCAAGGCAGCTTACCAGAGGAAGACAATGATAATTTATCTCGAAAATGTAAATTATTTCTTAAAGGAATTCCAAGATACCCTTTGTGTATCCTGGATTTATATGTTATAAGAAACATCAAATAACAATTCAATGGTATTGTTAATGCCAACATTGAAAGAAAACAATGCCCCCAGTGGTAGCATTTACACCAGAAGGCGAGAGACTTGTAGGAATGCCTGCTAAACTTCAAGCAGTAACACATTCAAAAATCACACTTTATGCTACAAAGGGCGCAGCAATCCAAGGTGGCATGCTTGCTAGTGATGTCACCGATGTACTTATGTTGAACATGACTCCTCTGTCTGTAGGAATCAAAATTTTTGGTGGTGTTTTTACAAGGCTGATCAACAGAAACACAACTATCCCAACAAAAATGTTGCAGGTGTTCTCCACAGCAGCTGATGGGCAGACACACGTAGAAATTAAAGTGCACCAGGGCAAGAGTGAGATGGCAGCAGACAACAAACTCCTTGCTCAATTCCAATTGTTTGGTCTTCCACAAGCTCCAAGAGTTGGGGTGGGGGGGGAGGTGGAGGGGTGTTTCTCAGATTGAAGTAAGTTTTGACATGGACACCAATGGATTCGTCAGTGTATCGGCTCGAGATAAGGAGACTGGCAAGGAAAAACACATTGTTATCCAATCATCTGGTGTGTTAAGTAAGGGCGAGATTGAAAACATGGTAACGAATGCAGAGAAATACTCTGAAGAGGACAACAAGAGGAAGGAAAAAGTTGAAGTTGTTAACCAAGCTGAGAACATCATTCATGACTCAGAGGCTAAGATGGAAGAATTCAAAGAACAATTGCCAACAGAAGTGTGACAAACTGAAAGAAGAAATTCAAAAATTAAAAGACCTGTTCCAGAAAAAGGCCTCGGAGGATGCCGAAAGCCTTAGACTAGCTTCCTTAGTTCTTCAACAAGCTTCATTAAGGAGATTTGAATTCCAAGATATAGGTTTTATCAGAAAAATAAAATGTCAAGATAATTTATCTCATGGAGATAGAATTCCAAGAGAGCTTACCTGGGGTAAGACAAAGATAGTTTACCTCGAAAAGGTAAAATGTCTACGAAATAAGAAATTCCAAGATACTTTTTGTGTCCGTTGAAGTATGCCAATCTTGACAGCATTAAGAAGGACTTCAGATAGATAGTATACACACTTGTTTTTACCGACAAGGTGAAGATTAGAGGTTTTGCAAGCAGTTTGTCATGGCTGGCCCCTCCCTGGTTAGTGGTTGACATTGAGGAGTTGTTGACCTGGGAGATGCAATTGTATACCACCTTTCTTTTTGTCCAACCTACACGTTGACTTAAACATGAAAGCATATGCTAGACATATCTTCACAGAATTGACTTTAGGCCTACTAAGACGGGACTTGGCCTACTGTATGTACTGTAGATGCCCTTTGAAGTATGCCAATCTTGACAACATTGAGAAACACATTAAATGTAAATAAAATACACACTTGTGGACTTTTGCCGAAGAGGGGAACATTGTAGGTATTTTCCAAGCGCTTCGTTATGGCTAGCGCCTCCCCGGTTGAAATTGACATTGAGCAGTGGTTGACCAGAGAGGTGCTAATGTGTAGTACCTTTCTTTTTTCCTGACCTACACACCGAATTAAATGTAAAAGCATGCAAGACTTGCTTATCTTCACAGAAATAAATTTAGGTTAACTAAGGAAGGGACTTGGCATATTTAGATGCCCTTTGAATTAGGGCAGTCTTGACAATAATGAGAAACACATCGGATGTAAATAGTATACAAACTTGTAGACTTTGCCGACGACGGGAGATTGGAGAAGGATTTGCAAGCTGTTTGTCATTGCTCAAGTAGTGGTTAACCAGAGAGGTTCTGTTGTATAGCACTTTGCTTCTTGCCTGACCTACTTGCCGATATAAACATGAAAGCATATATACAAGATATGTCTTCACAAAATTGAATCTAGGCCTACCAACAGACTAAAGAAAGAGGATGGACAATTTGCCCTCATCGCAGCTTGCGCAGCCGGAGGACTGGGACATGGCATGCTTGTCGAAAGGTATCTGGCATAGAATGTTGCAATACATCTGAATTAGTTTGAAATTGTAAATAAATGGCTCTACTTTTGATTTTAATGGGACTGTTGGCAGCCATTGCAAGACTTAAGGAGCTGTTTTTACTGATTTACAGAAATATATATATATATTGACAATGACGGGACTTGGCCTATGTAGATGCCCCTTGAAATATGCAAATTTTGACAACATTAAGAAACACCTTGGATGTAAATAGTATACACATTCATTTACTTTGCCGACGAGATTAGAGGTTTAAGGTTGATTAAGCGTCCAGAACAGGACTGATGTCAAAACAACGTCACTGTCCAGGTGCATGCAGACACTATGTTAAGCAGTATGCTGGGCTCCGGTGGCTTCCACCTTAGAATAAGCCTTCGACTCTAACGTGCACGGCAAAAGGCAATGTTGTGGTATCGAGTGAGGAACAGGTGGTATCCAGCTCTGGACATCCGGCAAATGATAGCACATTAGCTGTAAAACCTTCCTAGATAGAAAAATGGGAAACATAGGTGTATTCAGTGTTGTTAAAAAGAAAGTTTTTAAGTAAGGTTTTGTCAGACTTGATAGAATCAGCCGACTTGGTATGTTGAAGAAGACTGACAATTGAACACACTACATTCTATACTTTTAATATTTTTGAAATAGTCTTGATAATAAAATGTTATTATTATTTGAAGGCAATAAGTTTACAATATAGCAAATAGACTATTAAAATGCATACTTTCATGTTTAAGTCGACGAGTATTTCAAACAAACAGAATGGTGAATTACAGAACAAGACACCTAGGTGCTTGAAAATCGCATTTTCCTATTTGAATAGAAAATAATTAAGTGGGCGCCGGAACTCGGGAAACAAATGATACATTTCTTCCACCCATATCAAGAATAATATAAAAAAACATTTTTAAAAGTACAGTATGAAAGCACTGTCTCAAATTTTGACCTCATTTTTAAGAATGGATTGCCTATGAAGTTCCCAACTTCAGAAATTTGTATACAGCCTCTTTACTCCTTCCCTTACAAGTGGATTGGATGTATCTTGTATGCTGAAAAGGTAGGCGCTTATTGACCATTGTTTTATCCATTATTTTACTTCAAATTCACGATTTTGATGTTGGTAGCTGTTTTGGGCCTTTTCTTCGTTTTCTGCAATTTTAGTTTCACACTGTTTTTAGCGGATGTTAGATACTATCAGTTTAAGCTTAACGAAGTTACAATGTGTTTAAAATCACCCGTCACTATTCCTGTGACATCACTGAATTTCAACATTACCCCTCCCAAACCTAATTTCACGGTGAAAGCTTGGTAATGTCTTTCTATGAGTGTCCATTTCTAGCTCCATTTTTTTTGCTGACCACTTGGTATGGATCATCTTGTCCATCTGTTAAATTAAATATAATAACAAACATCAATACTTGGTGGTAATTTTAGAATCATCTTGTTATTTGATGTGTTATTCAGATGTTTTTTTAATCATTTTGAAATAGTAACCTTAAAACTAGACTGAAAATCTTGTGTAAAGGCCTCTGAAAGTATTAATTTATCAACCACATCTGTGTAATATTGACATGGATGGGTGATAATTGACAGGCTAACAAAATGTCCACCTTTTACGTCTAATCAGTCATGTAATCTGTATGCGGTACTCGCTTTGTTATTATTTTGAATGCTCAAGTTAATACACTGTAAAGATGGCAGCTCGGCAATTTTTCTGAGTGTTGTAAGCGACACCATATTGCTGTTTCTGTATTTTTTAACATGAAATTTTTTTTTTCCAAATCACTAACAAATATTTCAGTATTACATCTGAAGCCTTAGGACATTGGACATGGAAAGGCATGAAAGATATTGATAGTAAAGCTTTGGCATAATATTAAGAGACATGTTCACGATGCATTACTGGGTTACTGTAGTAGGCGCTTGCTGTGCTGCTGCTGTGCAATAGACCGAGCCTAGAAATTATTCTTGAGGCTTGTTGCAGTCATACTTATAGCCAAAAGAAACATTTAGGACCACATACAATATTTCTAAAACTAAAAAATACATTTCAAAAGCCCATAAAACTTAATAATCCACCCTAGAAAAATGAAGTGATTTGATAGTGTGCAGTGGCGGTGTATGCCTAACTTCCCCTGATGGAAATGAAATGCATGTTTATTGAGTTGCGTTTGAGAGTACAGTATAGTAACAATCGTATTTTACCAACTTTACATTAATGAACAAGGTACAATTTCAGGCGCTTACGCCCCACCATCCAACAGGTTGAGCTCATTGGAGTTTGATCAAAAAACCAAAAAAAAAAAAAGGCCTGATGAAATGAAATGCATGTTTATTGAGTTGCGTTTGAGAGTACAGTATAGTAACAATTGTATTTTACCAACTTTACATTTAAAAGTATTTTTCAAGTCTGAGAGTTCCATTTCCGGCCACCCCGTAGACAATATATCTTACAGCCGCCACTGGCTAAAGCAACTCGAAGAATTAAGGTTGGTATGGGAGATTTTTACCAAGAAATGTTAAAAAAAAAAAGAAGAAAAGGAACAATAAAATATTTTCTTAGGAGTTTTAGTCTGGTTATGCTTACCTTTGCTTGCAATGGTTGCAAGGCCAGTTCGGCTAATGTGCATTTATTTGAAGATCTATTTCCAACTTTCCAAAATAATATATTCCAATAATCACATGTACCCTGGTGGACTCCTGTCAGTATCTTCAGTTTCAGATTCAGATGACATTTTTTTGTAAGGTTACCAAGAACTTCCATTATTTCGAGAACTTTGTCAAAAATGTCTTGGAGGGGAATTTTTAAGAAGGTTATTTTCTCAGAAAGCTGCATATGTCAAGCAATACTGACTTGCAAATCTATTTATTTATTTGCAAATCAGAAGAAATTGTGCTTTGATGCATAGCTTTTCCTTACTGCAAGAAAACATTGTTCCTTACGAAAAAGAACTTCTCAAGAATTAGATTTTGAAACAAAAGGTTGTAAGCAAGCTGGAGAGCCTCATTTGAACCACTATCCATTCAGATTACTCTCTATCAGGATGTATTGCAAGGCCAATTTGGCTAATGTGCATTTATTTGAAGAAGGGCTATTCCCACCTTTCCAAGATATTAACCAATAGGTGTCCATTAATGAGAGAGGTTACCCATTATATGAACTTTTTCGAATCTGAAGTCTTAGGGGGAATTTGTGAGAATTATCCCAGACAACAGCATCATATCAGCTAAACCTCTCTGAGTGCTCATGTATTGTATAGCCAATACCTCTCTTTACAGCTACTTGCCAAAAGCTCCCAAAAACTCATAGTCAAAAGTTCTGAAGTGTTCGGCGATTTGGCAGATTGTTTCTAGATTTTGATGATATGTTCTTGCACAGCAGCTGTTGGTAGATACTTAGGCCTAATTGGAGGGAGGCCTGGGTCAGATTTTCTTCCAAATCTGGGAAATAAAATAATATAAAAATTAATATGCATCATAATTTTTAGGATCAGCTTGTTTCTTATTATGGTCCCAGATATTTGTTGATTTCCAAGTTATACACTGAACATAAGTAACCAATTTTTTAACAAGTACACTGTACCTGTACTCTCAACATTCCATTTTGATTGGTGCAACCATGGAGGTATTAGTGAGAAGGAAATCACAACAGTAACAGGTTCCTTTGATGCGACAAGCCTGTTCTAAACTCCATAAATAGGTGGTGTATGATGTATGCAGCTATACTAATTGCTTTATAAGTCAATCATGTCTTTTAATGTTAGTTTTGATAATCTGTTGTGGACGACAAGAGTTGGTGGTACCGGGTTACCGGGAAGCACAGACATAAAGGACCCTTAGGGGTGAAGAAAGTCATTGATCGAGTTCTTAGTCCACATATCAAGCGCCCTGCATCTTATGTTAGATGGATTTGGCGCTATATAAAACTACATTATTATTATTATTATTATTATTATTATTATTATTATTACTATTATTATTATTATTGTTATTGTTATTATTGTTTTTTATTATAATTATTATTATTAATAATCAACTGCTATGTAGCATGCAGTTATCGGTTTCAATAGTGATATGATCATTGTACTGTGTGTATATTACATTAGGCAACGTTGTTTTCATCTTTTGCTCACAAACCTAGAGAAAGATCAAGCCAAGCTTACACTATATAATATTGTACTGTTGGGGATAGGCAAATAACATTGGGAGTTGATGTCACGATTGACTTTATAAAGTTTATTAATAGCCAATGCGTGATTATGTAATCAAACGCCTTACTGAATTCTATAACAGTGAATTTACCAACAACCTATTAATAAATATGTCTGTCTTTTTTTATTTACCGCCAAAATTTGCTTGTTTTACATAAAGTAGATCAATTTTAATGATGTTCTGTAGTAGTAATGTAAGACAATAGTTAAACATTTTTTTTAAAATAAATATATTTTAACTACCATCAGGGCTATTGTGAAGCAAAACAAATGTCCTATGCAAGTGTATAAGGAAACCTTTAGCCTGATGTTCTGCAAAAGCTCACTGTGGGAAGTTTGACCTTGATTTGGATAAAAGCAAAGCCCTGACACTGAATTTCAACTGAAGAAAAAATGCATCCTAGTTTCTTAATCATTATAAACTTATAAGAGAAGAAAATAATGTAACCGTTCACCCCAGGTTCCTGAGTGATGTCAAGAGGGAGTAGGTTGAGTTTAAAATTACAAGTGGAATTTAGCCTTTTTCCTGTAATATACTTGAAATTATATACTGGAGTGATATATTTTCTAGTTAATATTTTTTATTGTAACTTTACAAAATTATTTTGCAGGGATGGTGTTCTCTGCATTTTTTCTCAAAGAAGAAGGTTAATGCCATAGAAGTTTGACCAAAAATGGGTTTTTGGGGTAAAAGCTTTTTCCTGGTATTTTGTTGGGGAACAAAATAGAAACAAGTTTTTCGAACAGTTTGGTACCAAAATTACTCTGTATGGTTAAAAGTGCTCTTATAAGAAAGAGAATTTTGCTTGGAATCCACCACATTCTTAACCAGCAAGGTCAAAATACCTGAATCAACTGGACCCTAGCTTCTACCTATCATTTTTTTTGGATAGGAATCTGTCTAAAACAGCTACATTGTTTAACATATCACAGGCATTGGATTAGTTGTTTTTACATGATTCGTGTTTTCAGTGTTAAATTAAATTATATTTATAATATGATGTTATTAATATATAATGTAATTAATGAAGAAGTTGTTAATATTATTCTATACAACATTGTTTAAAACCCCATTCTGCAACCTGTTTAGCCCATGACCCAAATTATATGTCAAGCACTCAGACGTGACCCACCAAACCAGAAGCCAAATTTCTCACCTGAATTCCATGGTGAAATGATTGAATACGGTATTATTATTTTTTAGTTTGGGTGAATGAGGTCATTAAATCACGTCCGCCGTTTTATATGCGCGAGGGGTATGAGAAGAACCCACTTGATTCTTTTGGCAATCGATTAAAAGATAAGCCTATTCCAAAGATTACCCACACAATCAATTTAAAACCCATAAAAATGAAAATATAACTTTGAATTACTCATTTAACAAAGCATGTAAGTTATCAAATGTTCCAATAAGATTTTTTAAAATGAATGATTTACTGGCATTTTACTATAGGTCTACACAAATTCATAGATTGCTGCCAGAAATATGGGTTAGGCCTATGCGAAGACATAGACACATTAAATTGAAGAGAAAATGTTTTGTCGTTATAATTTTCAGCTGAAAGCCAATCACACTGAAAGGAACAAAAATAACACTTTGAAGTTGTCATACCTGAAGTACAAATGTTTTGATAGTATATTATTTAACATAATATAAAATGCTTTGTAACCTAATGGAATAAGTGCTATATAAATACTAAAATAACAAAATAACAAATGAAACTATGATAGCAAATGCATTACAAAGTAAACTGCACTTTCGTTTGCATTAATTTGATTTTGTTTGTCCTTGTTCGTATTAAGTCAAGTTTTCACGATCTGAAGAGATTATGCGACCCATCTAAATGTTTCTGTGACCCAAACATTGGGTCGCGACCCATAGGTTGCTGAACGGTGTTTTCAAACATGTCTTGCCTTGAGATGATAGGATTAGGCCACGCCATTACTGGACCATAAGTGTTTCACTGTTTTAGGCCTACTAGGCTTCCCCATTTCATTTATGAAATGCAAGCCCATTGTTAGACAGGCTTTCCTTTCGAATACACAATGATTTGCCACCATAGCCTAGCACATTATTTTAATCAAAATGGAAGGTTTTAAAACAGTTTTAATAAATCATGAAAACCTACCTTATTGATAATCTTGCCTTCATATGAGATTAAGAATTTAGCTGCCGTCACGGAGACTTATAACAGATAACAGATTTTAAAATTATTTCCGTGTTGGCTCGAAACATCGCAATGAACTTGCTTTGTGATCACAGCATCACGGGTTTTCTACGTGGCTGATCTATTTACAAGCTTTCTGATTGGTTGGTCGCCGAGTTTCACATTTTGGAATGCTCTAGACTATGACACAGCAAATACGGAAATAGATAGTAATAATTGAAATAGAAATCAATTGTGGAAAAATGAACTAAATGTTTTGTTTGTGAGACATTATGTTTGTGATGTGTTGCATAAAACCATATTATCATTGAATTTTCTGATAATAGACGATGACGACTTTTGCCCTGTTGACAAACTATCTGAACATATGGACCTTATTAATGGGTCCATTTGTGGTTCATTTTGCATACAGTAGGTTCCTGGTATTCAAACTATGGTGGCAACCCAAATTAGTGTTGCCAAGATATTTTGAAGGGTCAGCAGACGTTTATGGAGAAAAGTCATTTTGACAGCAACTTTCTAGTCTGTTGTCTTATGTCATATTTTTTTTACCTTTGTCATTTTTTGGATAGATTCTTCGCAAACATGTCTAAAAATATTTTAAAAAATCACTAATTAAGAAAAAAAATGGGCACCACTTTTTTTTAATTCAATTTTAGGATCTCCATTTTGAATTTCAAAATGGTCACTACAGAAATTTTAGTTTTTAACAAAAAAATTGCAAATAGATCATTGTTATTCAGTTATATATATCATACAATAGTCATCTGATATATAAAGGGATCAGTGATGCATTGGGAAGAAAATAAGAGCAGCACAAGAAATAACCCCTCCCAAAAACCTTGCTTCCGCCCACACTTCCCACTGGAAAAAAAAAATTACTCTCAAGTATTCACAAAATTGCCACATATCACCATATTTTTCCATCTGAATCTCCCTGACTTAGTCATTGAGCATTGCCACTTAACCTTCAAGGCCCCCCCCCCCACAAATCACTCATCCCGGGCTACACTCATCCCAGGTTACGCCCCTCCCCGAACTTTTTGGAAATTAAAAAATGGAGATAAAAGAAGAAAAGTATATTAAAATTTAGGTCTAATCTGTGAGTGCCATTTCCGGCCATCTGTTGTCATAGCAATAACATTTTGTTCCTCGGCCCCACAATGTTGGGGCAGGGGGCAGATTTAGGAAGTGGAACGTTCCCCTGTTTGCCACCATTGCCTTTTTTTTTTTTGAACAGTGAAAATACAAAATGCCATACAAATACTAAGTGTTACAACATTTCGTAACAGCATAATATACTGAACATAAATCTTACCATTATTAGAAACATATTTCTGTGTATAAAAATCATCCAGGCCTATATGAAATTGATGCCCCCTCATTAAATAAAATCTGGATCCTCCATGTGTGGGATGGTGTCGTGAAAACTTTGTTAATACACAAATTCATTCATCCAAATCACTTCTACGAGATTTACACTCTCCGTAAAAACACTAGCAATCTGACAAAAGTGATACTGTGGCATTCTAATTGTGTTCAATTTAGAAAAAAAACTCAATTGTTTCCAAGTCATACCTCAAACCCTATGTTTAATTAAATGTATTCTGCAGCAGATACCAATGTGTGTTTCTTAAATTTTGTCATTTTGACCCACAAATTCTACTCGCGAAGATGTGGTGCTCTACAAAATATTTTAAATATGCTACAGTTGAATAATTTGTTGAAATGTCTGTCAAGGATGATCCATTTGACATTTAGAGTTCCACTAACTGCAGGGTGAAAACACTGATATTATCTTTTTGTTTGTTTTGTTTGTTCAATGCTTTTTCTCCAACTCTTCAAATTGACATAACAATATTAAGGTGATAACAATATAATAATAGTACAAGGTTACAAAATCGCTGTAAGTACAAGTGAAAATATAGTTATAGGAAGTGTGGAAGGAGGTCAAAATAAGTAAAAAACTTTAAGACTTGACCCCCTGTAAAAAAAACCAGAAGATGGTACATAAAACTTTAGAACACAGCATAAAGTGTGAAATCAAACTTAATAATGATAATGATGATAATAATAATAATAATAATAATAATATAATAATAATAATAATAATAATAATAATAATAATAATGAGATGATTATAATAAATAGATAAGTAATGATCAAAGAGAAACTTACTCACCATATATCTGCACCAAAGACTTTTTATAGGTAATCCTGAAACTTGAGAGAGATGGTTTGTTTTTTAAAGAGTGTGAAAGACTCCCCCAAAGCTTAGGACTGGTGTAAAGGATTGAATGGTGTCTGGTATGAAACTCACATTTTTTAACATAAAAATTGGTAACAGAAAAACGAGTGAAGTGTGAATGAGTATCAGAGGGTTTGTTAAATAATGAACTAATGTGTGCCGGAAGTAGATTGTTGGTTAAACGGTACATAAATAAGGCAGATTGTAGTTTATTAATGTCAAAGACGTTTAATATTTTCCAGTTAAAAAATAATTGTTTGCAAGAACAATCTTGAACAGCATTTTTTGAGACATTTGGTGGTCTTGTGGTGCTACAGTAGTGCTAGAGTAGTGGCCTGTCTTTGCTTTGGTTCAGGTGTGTAAAGATGACCTCCTAAGGACTCCAAAATTAGGAGTATATTGGAGTGATAAGAAATCTACCACAGTAGTTTAATAGTTGCAGTGTTTGTTGAGATGTTCAATTTCTAGACAGATCTTTCCTTCTTGATATCTGTAATTGACAGCATAGTTACCAACCTGAGAGATGTGTGAGTGACTACACCAGTTGGAGTGGGGGAGGGGGCAGGGCCGCTGGGGTCCAGTGGCAGAGCCACCCGGGGTGAAGTCCTCCGTGTGCTCCCACAATCTGAGCATTTTTAAGCTGTTTTAAAACGATTTCAGGGAGTGTTTGTTGACAATACTGGGTACATAAACATAAATATTTTTAATATTAATAAAGCCACGTACAACTTGAGTTTCAATGTAGGCCTGTGTTTAATTTTCTGCATGATCATTTTTATACTTTAGTAAAACAATTTTCTTCTAATTTTAAAATCAACTTCCCCTTAATTCACAATATTCGTTATCACGCATAGATTTGTGCTAAATGCGTGACAAATTTATGATCACGCATGTGTTTTTCCAAAATGTAGTTTAAAATGAAATTCAAATTCAAAACGTAGGTCTGACTTGATCAAACGCCCTCTCCAAATTCTATACCAAAACGTAAATCAAAAACCAGCCTGGTTTGAAATGCATTTTACAACACTAGGCATGGACTTTTGCTGCGTATGGCACTAGACTTGCGAAATGTAAATTAGTAAAACTAATCAGCCAAGCATGTGGGCCTGTTCCATTAATGATGGGGGAATCAATTTTCGATGCAGTCCATTGCCGTGGACAACGCTTCCCAGTGCGTCTGCTAATTTTTGATGGTCAGGATACCGCGATCACAAGCTCTGTGCTAGGCATTATAGGCTAGGCCTATGTGGGCTGTGATTTACAACACTAGGAGGCCTCTATAGGTCTCCAAACAGCATAATTAGAGGGTAACCCCTGAAACCTAAGTGAAGACCAAAGTTAAAATTGGTCTCCAAAAGACAACATAGGACAACCATTTATTTATTTCAAAGAAACTGTTGTTTGCTTTTTAAATGTTTTTCAACTACTTGAAACTTATTTAAAAAAAAATCTGAACAGCATACTGTAAACATAAAATTTACACTTTATTTCGCATAAAGATAGATTTTATTTTCTTTTGTGTACTTGGCTAACATAATTAAACTTCATTTCTTTGGTTCTAGGCCAGATGGTCGAAATCCAGTTTGCCACATGCCAGTTTGCCGAGACCGCTTTTCCGAATCCCAGTTTGCTGAGTACTAGTTTGCCGACTCAATGAATCCCAGTTGGCTGAAACCCAGTTTGCCGAACCCAGTATATATAAATCATGATAGCTGTTTCACTGTTGGATACAGAATCAATCATACACAACATGCAACCTCCTCCACTCCCTGGGGAGTATTCCTAGTTACGTGTGTAATCACACCAGTGGCGTATCTAGAAGTCTTGAAATGGGGGCTGATGGTAGGGGGGCGCGAAGGTGAAGTGGGACTCGATGATTAGTTGAGTGGCGCTAATTTGCAAAATATGGTGATTTTAGGTGATTTTTAACTACGGTACTTGACCATGATTTTTGGGGTGACTGGGGGGGCCTGGGGGCGCAAGTAATTTTTTTGGGGTGGGGGAGTGCGTCCACAATTTGTGTATAAATACAGTAGGTAAATGGTAAACTAAAATATGCAAGCCACAATATCACTTTGGTCTTGCTGATTAATATATTTGGTAGCTGCATACACATATCATGGATTGCATTGGTTAATGTACGATTAAATTGATTTGATTGATTGATTAAATGATGAAAAATAGTAATAGCATGAATTAATGGTTGTAAGATAGTTGGTATCACTTCTTTAAGAAGAGAAGAATTTATATGGCCATGCCCAGCCCCTTTATTGGAATCAGTATAATGTAATTAATGGATAATGTAATTAAAATGTTGTTACAGTATTATTATTATTCTATAAACATTGTTTATTATTTTATGAACACTGCCCAGGACTATAGGCCTAGGCCAATACCATATGTAAATGAATTTCTGTACCGTACAAAGCTCATTGTGCTGCGTCATTGCAACTTGAAGACACACTGTTGTATAGAGTCAGAATTTCATTTCAGAACAATTCAGAACTAAATCATGAGTATTAAACTTACCTTGTAGTATTGTACTGTTGGCATAAAGCTTCATATTTGATTCTGACGGAACATTTATTTATCTTATTTATCTTCACTGAGAATTGTAACAGCTTGTGAAATCATATTGGGCGTTGTTGAATCTGAGACGGGTGGTGTGGCAAAGTACGCATGTTCCGTGACCCTGATTCGTCGGGTCTCGAGTATGGAACTCTGGAACATTCCATTCTCGACGGAGGCAAATATGGTAGTCGTATCGTAATCAATAATTGTTGTAACATAGAATGAGCTGAATTTATTCAACAAAAATGTTTGTGAGAAATGTGTTGCTTGAGAAATGCGTTGGATTGAAACCATATTATCTGTTGAAGCCTGCATTGAATATCCTGATAAAAAGACTGACATTAATTTTAGCCTCAGATTTGAAAGACTATTTGAGGAAGTTATTTTTAAATATGTACCAAAACAAACAAACACATTCACTTAACAGAGTATAGCACTATGGGGCTCATTGATTTTTGTATATATAGAGATTCATTCAACTGATATTGAATACTCATTGTATCAATTCAAATTATGTGGTTCATATCGCACAGAGTAATAAACTGTACATAGTTTTTTTTATCCACTATTTGTTTTCTCTACAGTTATAAATATTCATCCTGGAATGAAAGCCAATTAGCATAAAATAAAACTGTATTTCAAAGCTTTTACCAGTCCATTACCTATTTAAAGCCCATTCTTATTTTTGAGCTAAAAATAGTTCCAAATTTTAAAATGTAAAGTTTATATCCAATATTCAGGGTGGAGTTTAGCTCAGTCAGCAAAACTGGTGGAAGCCACAGTGTGTGCGCTGAACCATGGAGATGCTTATGTATCATTGGTCCATGCTTCAATTCTATTGCTGCTTTCTCTGCGTTCTGCATGGAGGCAGAAATTGAAGTTTTCAATAGAATACATCCTTTGGAAGAGGCATTTAAACATTGAATTATTCATATCTTGTTATAATGTATATTGATGATGGAATTTGAAATACTGTAAAGTCGAATTGAATAGATTGAACTGTTGGTCCTGTGTGGTATTTGGCCCTGTGTGGTATTTGGCCCAGGTGCATTTTTATGGAATACCTCAGTGTACAACTGTGTACAGTGGTGCAACTAAGTCTAACCTACAAGGTTAAGCAAGCATAAGTGTTTTTATCCTAGCCTTAGTAAACTTTTTTGTACTCATGAGCACAAAAAGTCATTTATGTGATAAAAGTGTCTGGGGTTTACAATTGCAACTATATTGTTAGGTCTTTGTGGTTTATGGTATAATACTTGGTTTAGTCTCGCCAGAGACACTTTTTTTCATATATCTGGAAAAAGTGACTTTTTGTTGAAGAGCTGTACTTGATACTATTATAACATCATGTTCCTGTCCAAGCACTGTTACACATTTTCAATCTACACTTTAAAAAGCTGCACAAGACATTTTTTTCCAAGACATTATTTTTATTCCATTTCCATAAAAAGGATGAAATTGTGTCAGTAGCCATCATTCGGAAATTATTATTATTATTAGTAATTTATTGTTATTCTAATCAAAAAGGTACTGGTTTTGGACTTCGGGATTTCATGGTCATACATTAGTAGAAGAAACTAAATGAATATAGCATACAATTTATTTGCTGGGATTGAAAGTTGTTTACAATGCACGTGTTTAATTAATTGGCTTGCCATCCCATAACCACCATCAGTGACAAAAAAAATAAAACTTGACTTTTTAATATAGGGTCTTCTCCACATTAGCTTCAAAATGATGAATCATCTACTGGAGTCAATGTACTGTACTATAATAGTACAGTACATTCTATAATAGAAAAGCCACAATAATTTTACTCATAACAATAATTGTTAAGAGTAAAATTATTGTGGCTTTTCTATACTGCTATTCTTTGCTCCATTCTTATGCTAATTCTCAGTTTGCGATATGATACTCCTTTATTGTCATCTTAACATCATGGTAAAAATGAAATTTGTGTTAATTGATCCGATAGGCAAAAACTGTAGTATTTTCAATTCAAGATTCAAGATTAATTTTCGTCATACATAGTACATATATATGAGAACATAGTACATATATATGAGATTTGTTTCTTTGAGTTGATAATAAACAGTGGAAATCGAATACTATAACACTATAAAATACGAGACAACAATTAACAGATATAATATTAAATATGAATATAAGAATATAAAAATATATTACACATGGAATTAACAAGGTTGAACTATATTGTGAGGTCAGGAGAGGAATATGGCATGGAATGTAATACAGTAGATAGGCTTGATGATGAGATTATC